GATATGCATAGGTATAGCAGGTGACGTACATTGTTCATGCCCATCCCCTTAGCACGACTCTCATACCGCAGACATTCCACCGGATACATAGCCTGATTGGGCGTCCAGCCAGCCGAGTACACGAAACCGAAGATGAAGATCATGGCGATTTGGGCGCGGGCTGTGACGCCACTTTTGGCGATGGGCTCGCCATCGGGGCCGTCGACGACGTTGGTCGCGTTGAGGGCCAGCACGATGGCGAAGAGGATGACGATGAGGCCGGTGGAGACGAGCAGCTGGGGGCGACGACCGACGCGGTCGGTGATGAGGGCGCCGAACACGGCGCCGATGAACTGCACGACGTTCTGCAGCCCCTGCAGGAGCAGTCGGGTGTTGTTGTTCTCGATGCCTGCGCCGCGCAGCATCTGCGGGTAGTAGTAGGATACAGGGCCGTTGCCGGACCATTGGCCGAAGAAGGCTATCATATTTCGTTAGCTGGTTATTGACTAGCAAGGTGGGTGGTGCGTGTTGGAGGAGGGCATACCCATGAAGATCACCAGCATCGATCGATACCGCGTCTCGCGACTGTTGAATAGCTCCCGGTAGTCCCACCAGCGCTTGTCGGACCCCGTCTTGGAAATGTCCTCCAACATCTCGCGGTACTCGAGCTGCACGATCGGCGCGTTGCGGTCGCCTTCGCCGTGGTACTCGGCCAGCACCTTCAGCGCGGCTTCGTGCTTGTCTTGCGAGATGAGCCAACGCGGGGACTGCATGCTGTTAGCGTGGTTTCTCAGACTGGGAGTGGCGGGCAGCCTACCTCTGGAACAGTAAAGCAGAACAAGAGCACGAGTCCTGAAAAGATCATCTGCAGCCAGATCGGAATCCGCCAGCTCATGGTCCCCTCGATGTCGCTCGTGCGCCACGGGATGAAGGTCCCCGGGATGCCGCCGCCGAACCACAACACGTTGTATAGACCGGTCATTGCGCCGCGATACGCGGGATGGGCCATCTCCGAGACGTATGCCGGGCCGGCGGTGGCGGAGGTGGCGACGCCGAAACCCAGGATGAAGCGGCCGGCCATGAAGCCGCCCAGGTTGTGGCAGGTGGCCTGGACGATGGTGCCGATGATGATGAAGATGGAGCCGAGGGCCATGCCGACGCGACGACCTATGGCACGGGACTTAGCTGAGGGATGGCATGCACGAGTGAAAGGGGGGGTACCTCTGAAATCAGTGAAGGGGCCGGCCGTGAAGGAGCCCACGATGTTTCCGATCGTGTAGATGGCGTACACGATTCCCGTCGACGGCGTTCCCTCGTCGGGGTCGAAGCCGAAGTATGATCGGTATTGCTCGTAGCTGTTGATGGAGCCCATCAGCGAGCCGTCGTATCCGTTGATGCAGGAGTTGAGCATGGCGACGGCAATGCACCAGTACAGCTGGACTGGTCAGTGGAGAGTCCTAAGCGCAGAACGGAGATGCGATTACCTTGAGCATGCTCTTGCTCAGAAGCTTGGGCTTCTGCTGGATGGTGGCCACCGCCAACGCGGCATTGTTGACGCCCTTGATGTGGGCGTCGGCCGCGTTGTCACTGTGGGACACAGTGGCATCCAACTTGTCAGCCATGGTGGATCAAGAGGAAGCAAAGAAGATCGGTTGGCAGTGGATACAATTACATAGTCTGATGGAGAAAAAGCGAGGCCAGGGGAGGGGGGGAGGTTGATATACAATATAAAACTGCGGGCGTTTCGGTGTATCAGACCATGCTACCCAGATTGGGAAGGATTACGATACAATACGGGATATATTAAACGGTGACATTATAAGGATATTAAAATCCATTAAAAATCAAGGATTCAGCCCTGTGTATGGACACAGAGGCAACCCGCGGATGAAAGCAGCAAGGAGGAATCCTTCCGTCGCGAAAAGGGTATAAGCGCATATCAAAGTCGAAATCTGGGGAATCAGTTCGCCGCTGGAGGTCGGCTTAGCCCGTATTCTAGCTTCGCGGGGGATTGTGGAGGGCCAATACGAGGAGCCAGACTGCTAGATCCAACGTCTCCCCATCGTTCTCTCGTGTGGTCAGATTCCCAGTCCTCCTCGTGGTCTGCACGCCACGATGGATGCCCAAGTCGCTCCATGACTCTCTCTCTCTCCTAGTGGCCATGCCAATCCAGGAACCCTCTAGTGCGGTGATCGGTCCGAACTGCCGTGTCCGTTTCTCTTCTAGTCAGCCCAGGGTCCAGCCCCCATCTAATTAAATTCCGGGGGATTGTGTGGGCGGACTATCTGGGGTTGACAGGATTAGCCTGGGTTTATTACGCCGGGATTATGACTGGGAATGCGGCCCTAGGATCCGCGGTCGTCCTGTGATTGAGTGCTTGTGCCGGACTTGGATTGCTGCTAGTCTTAGCTGCAGGGTAAAAGCGTCGCGGGAATTAAGCGATGTCAAGACATTGGTCCGTCTTGGCTCTGGCATGCCGCTAAAAACCCTCCATTGGCGTCGCTTGCTAAGGAAATTGTTTCAAGGCATAGACAGGAGATTGAACATAGAAGGATTAATTACAGACCACATGGCAAGAGACGTCCGAGCTGTTTACTCGTCGATCTCATTAGGTATCAACACGCGATTGCTTGTTAGCTTTCCCACGAACATGGAATAACACATGATGGTCTGTGGCCTCGTCCAGACCGGCCACAGGCTCACCGATCACTATTTCTGGGGTTAGCTGGTAGACGCGACTAGATCGAGATCGAACTCAGCAGATATCGGTCACCGGCCGCCGCACTGACTTGAACGTCGGTTGGTTACCCGAGGGTTTGTGGCAACATGGTGCCGAGTGACTCTTCTGTATAGCACAGTGTCTGGATGGGCGTATCCTCGTGGTCCTGGTGAGGCCTATGTGTCTTCTAGAGTCGTTAGTTCCGAACCGCTAAGCGAGCTGAAGGCAACGCACTGGTTCAATATGTGGAGTGAAGTTACCTATGGGGGTGTCGGTGAAGGACTTCCTAATAGACGTGATCGTGCACATGTAGGTTATATTGAATATGCTCACATGTCCGAAACTAGCACAAAAACGAAATTTCACAGCTTGGTAGATTGTGCCCTTGTGTTTGGACACTTGGCTCTTCGATCAAAGCACGGACTCGCCAATAAAACCAACATAGCTTATGTTGGCCAGATTTCGGTTGGAGGTGCCTAAATGTATTTTGGTCAAGTGGCAGCACCCTCAACAGCTTATACTCCGAGCAACAGGTACATACACCATTTATCACTGGCTCTAACTCACCGCTATACCGTGGCAAGAAAAACATCCATGTTATAGCACCCGAAACCAAAAGCCAAGACTGATAAACAGGCACAGGAATAGCAGATCCTACCGAAAGCATCTTGTTAGAGATTTGGAAAAGCCTTGAAAATAGTTTTAGCATGTTTGACAAGTGAAACATGACTAGGGCGGAGATTGGTGGAATAACTAATAATCGACAGCACTTGCCAGCAGCCGAGGTCCTGGGTCTCATTTGCATAAGGCATCCGGCATTGGTATTGCAGTGTACCGACAGGTCCTCGGCCGTACTAGCTGAATTTGTAATTAATTAGTGGGTTCGGTTTTGTTTACTTTATGTAGATTTTATTTCCCTTGAAAACTGTGCGAGATGGAGATGCTTGCAGTAGTCGGTTTTCATGATAGAGATTGCTTTGCTCGGAAGGAATATCTAAACGCAGGTGAGCCGTGCAAAGAACTCTTGTTTCTAATGTATTTAGGGTATTCAAGGAGCTCTGGGTCGGGGCAGCTCAAGGCTGACTATATGTGTAAGTCATATCACCCTGTAGCGCGGAGTGGTAGATTTGCTCCTTTGACTGCTTAGACGGATCAGTTATAACTAGGCAATATTTGAGCATTGGATCGCAGTGGGGGATCCCAAGTGAGGTTGAATAAGCTCTTGAAATATACTAGCTGCTGACTGTGGTCTGCGGTCTGCAATTTCGAGGAGCTGGGCTAAAGCTTATAATGCTTCCTATCCCAGGTTGAGTAGGACCAGTGATCCTTTATTCAAAGGAAGGCTGTTCTAGGGTAAGACTACACAAGCATTCCAGATTGCAAAAGCAATATGCTTATAACATTGCACTTTTAGTGTCACCAAATGCAAACAGAGGAACCTCCTGATAGATGTTGAGCTCATACCTGGCAATTCGGAATCAAATTTGGAGACAAGTCTGTCCGACAACGGTAGAGACAGACACTACATATCGATAGCCACAGCTACTTATTTTAGATATTTAAATCTAGATAATTATGCTTATAAATCATCAAGCTGTGCCGTCAGCAGTATGTTAGGTTTGCTCATGTTCACTCAGTATAACGGCTGGTTCAACGACTATAAAGGCGTGATCTTGGCTGCTTTCACAGCTGCGTCTACTTGATTGCGCGTAGACTTCACTAGCTGTAGTTCCGGCCACTCTAGCATAAAAATATATACTTGAATGCTCATACATGTTCTATCATGCGTAGATATTGGCGAATAGGGCGCAGCCACTGCGTTCGAATATACGCATGTTTCTATATGATGTAACACTAGTTTATGTTGAGACAAAAGTTTTGAACGCATTATTCAATGACCGCTGCCTAAAATTGGTCATAATCGTCCACTTATGTAGTCAACCTGACAAATTCTACTGGCCAGAGTACTAGTATATATACTCTCGTTCGATATCCGACCAATGAGCTCTTTCGGACGTATATTTCTTCTCGTCTTGACGGCTCGTATCCGTCTCCTCTGAACGTCATATATGTTATGATACCATAAAATATACCAACAGAAATACGTCGACTACCAGTAGTGGATCTTCAGTTCCACGCCAATTCTCGAAGGCCATGAGAGGTAACTGGCTACTGAAACGAACCGTTGTGGTTCGTATATAAATAGAAAAGAAGACAAGGCCTTGAGTTCTCTCAGGATGAATCCCCTAACTTTCTCTCAGTGGGACAGAGATATATCTTAGGTTTACATCCGCTTTTCCCTCTTCAAGCCTCCCCACCCTCTTTTCTCTTTTCCCATAAATCTACCCATACCCCGGGCTAAATTTCGGCTTCAATCCTATTCCAACATTAACTTACGGTACACATCTCATTGCCTACACCTGATTCCCGATATGCACATGCTTGAAATACATGGTAGGATATCTGACAGCGAGCCTGTTTACCAGGCTTCCCACTCATCGCTCGGAAGCCCGACGACATAAGCTACTTACGATGATATTGACCTCGCTGTATCATGGGGGTGATACTTATGATTAAGAACTTTTATTGGGTTGGGTGGAGTTAGAATTTGCACAAGGCATGTGCTCGCTTGATTATAACAAATACACATTCTAAAGCTTTAGTCGAGCACCAATTGCAGAATACAATATGAATCGGACAGCATTTTATTCAAGAGATCTCGCTCGGCTTTTGTTCTGCGGGTTTTCGGGACTAGATAATACCTCCAAGGTTTTGTTTGAAATTGATCCCCAATCGTCGGAACCATTATCCACGAGAATACAAAGTGTGTCCCTCGCTGTGCCATCAACTGGATTGTGAGTATCACCGTGAAAGTGAGCTGAACATTGCCGAGCTACTGTTGAACTTCATCGAGTGATATATTATTCGCACATGGGCCTAGGACATGCGCATCTATAACTTGGTTAAATGCAGTCGAAATGTCGACGGCAGAAGCAATATTTAACATACACAGGAAATTCGCAGGACCAAATAAAGACCGCCAGAAGTCGAAGTACTCCTTGGACTGAGGTTGGGTACTCTTCGACTTAACTTGCAGAATATGTCGCTTCAGCAATACTAGGTTTATGACTATCGGCCCGATTTATGCATCATGAATTACTGCCAAAACCACTACTTTCCTTTTGTCCTCTTTTCTCCTGTCAGGTAAGCAAGGAGGAGTGAACGAGGAGCCATGGTTCATGTCATTGGACAGCACATAGAGAATGAAACATGGGATTATGTACACGAAGCAGCTGCGAAGTCATATCCAGCAACTCATTCATGCCTCATATGGACTGAGTACGCCAGATAAAATATCGAATGATTTGCCTTCGATTGCTGAAATAAAACAGTGAGTAGACAGACGAGATGCTTTGCGTATGCTTGCTCAGGCAAATATCTCAACGGGCATCAACAGATTTATCAAACAATGATTGATGGCAAGTTACGGCTCACTAGGGTAGGAAACACTTGTGTCTTAGGTCAACCAGTGAGGCAGAGCTGATATATAGTTATATATGGGATCAGGAATGCTGGGGCCTTGAGCCCCGAGATGGATCCTGCTAGAGGTTGAATTATTAGGAGAAGTGGATCTCGACTCGGGCATACCTGCCGCACGGCTACCATAGTATACGCGCTATCTGAGCTTGCATAGTTGGTTTAATAGTTACCCTCTGACAGGTTAATAGATCTTGATTGATTGAAGAGCTCCTGCAGAGCAAGATGGCACTTGAAACATTCCAAGCTGGCTCAAAGAGGCCTATCACATTCACATTCATAAACATAGCAACTTTTCATTGATTCTTGACTCATAATATACAACCGATAAATACAATACCCAAACAAATTCACCGCCCAAAGTAT